TGGGTTCTTTTTAAATCTCAATTCTATTTTCACTCACAATCTGCCTAAACACTGCAGCCAATCCCCACCACCCAGCAATGCATCGCGATTTCCCCTCTCTAATTTATGTCAGTAGAAGTATGAGTACCTTCAGATAATACGTGTGCCGATGGTGGGAGCCTGACCAACCACATCGTTCGTTGTGTGAAGCATCTCATTCAAACTGCTCGTTTTCTCAGTTGTGACCCCTGTCGTCTTTAAACTGTCTGGCTCTATGCAGTGCTGCGTTTTCCTCACAACATGCTGCCATCATGTTTCTTTTCAAGTATAAACGAACATATTTCCTCACCAGTTATTGTAGGAGATCTAAGAGCAAGTGCAACAAGCGCTACCGCAGCGACGGCAGCGATGGCCGGTGTTCTCGGAGCCATCTCTATCAAGGATGGACCCTTCCCTACTACCGACTACCGAGCTAAGATGGACATGATTCATACACCACGCAATGATCCCCCACGCATTCATCTCTACTAACAACTACATTCGCGGCAGTAGAGCCGCTCATGCTACCGTGCTTATCCAGTATAAATACCAAGCTCTGTCCCCACACATCTTCTTGAAGTTCCCACCATCCAACCACCTACCATTCAACCACTTACCATCAAACTATATTTCAGCGAATCTATCCACTGAGTCAACTCTCAACATGGCCTTTCTCGACCACATCACCATAGAAGACACGCCCGCTGGGACTGCTGTACGCAACTATCTTGAGGGACAAAATGCTCGCAATAAGGAAATGCTCGTCTCTTCCATGTCAGGAGACGTCACCTTCTATGGGAAGATGTTCAAGGCGACCGGTCGCGACGCCTTTCTTGCTGGTTATATGGACTTCCTCAACAATATGCTTGACTCTATGCGCATTGAGGCTATTTCACGCGTCGAAGGTTCCGATCAGTTCATCGTTCTGTTCCATGTTTTGCTCAATGGCAACGTCAAGGAAATGCCGGTTGTTGATCTACTTCATATCAAGGACGATAAGATTTATCGTATCGATAATTGCTTTGACGTGGACAAGGTGCCCAAGCCGGTCTCTGCGGACGCTGAATAGGCTTCCAGGACGTGAGAACGAGGCCCAGATCGTTGATCTGCTTCGTGTCAGGGGCGATAAGATTTGTCGTATCGATAATTGCTTTGATGTGGACAAAGTGCTCAAACAGGTCTCGGCGAACGCTGAATAGGCTTCCAATATGCAAGAACGCAGGCTATTTTTCTGTGCTCAGTAAAAGTTATTGTCTCGTTCCTTGAATCACTGGCATGTTCATTTTCGGGGTTCAGATCGCAATCTATGTGTCAAGTACCGAGCACTTTCTGAATGCGACAATGCGCTAATCTAGAAGTCCATGTACAGCTGTATCATTTTTAGCATTATTGCTTCTTGTCTGACAGCACTCTATGCCCAGCGCATGCTTGTGAAAGGAAGAAGCAGCAGATAATTGTAGAAAGGCGTTCATCCAAGCTTCACGCTGAGAGTTATCCAAGCATTGCATGCCAGGTCCGTCATGCAAAGAGTTTGGAAGCCAAGCGATTCACACGGCGGACGTCCCATACATGGGTCAGAATATTATTTCCCCAGAAGCATAGAAATGAAGTTTGCGCGTGGGTAGAGGCAACAATTTCATTGTTGAGATCTCAGAGCCAGGTCGGTTTTTTGAATATGGTGATTGCGTGTTGCAGTACAGAGTAAAGTCTCGATAAGCTGCGTACCTGATATGATGAACTGTCTCGGTACAGTGAACCAAAGGACTATGAGGGAAGCGCCACCCCGCTTTTTTGGCCCAGAATCGACGTTTTCGTATTTCTAACGTGAACTAGACTCTATAGAATGAACTACGCGATACCATGAACATACAAAAACATGAAAACCCCAGAGTTCACTTTATCGAGGCCGAAATGCGCACTAGGAACGAACCATCAACGACTACAGAAGCCATCCATACGACTTTGCCTCAGATTCGAACGCTGAAGCCTCCTTACGCGGCTTTGTTCCTCATACAGAAGTGACTTGATGCTCGAAGGCAGCCCCGATTGAACCAGATTCGCGTCCGTCATAACACAACTGAGTTCGTTAGATAGAGCTTCTAATGTTCCGCGATACCGAGCAAGCGACGGTTTGCGCCCTGTCCGGTCTTTCGCTGGCACAGTAGAGCGATCGTCCTCACTATCTGAATCACCGTTAAATTTATCTTGCTCAATGCCAGTAAATGCCCCAAAATCCCCTAATCCAAGATCAATGGCTTGACCGAGAGCTGACTCTTCTGATATAGACTCTGGATGTGGCAGAATTAAAAGAAAAGGAAGGATGGATCACAATGTGAAGTGGTCCAGATATGGAATTGCGCCCGTCGACCTTGCCCGTCGACCTTGCCCGTCGATGGACAGAGTGAAGGAAAGTGAGTTTGTGTTCCTGTGACCGTACAGTATCATCAGCATTGGTGGAGACGCTCTAATAGCGTCTCCACCGGTGTGGTCCAAATCATACTGTACCCGTAAAAAGGGTACACGTGTACACGAGCAGTTCCGCCGCCGTGAACTGCCTCGGTAAGGCGGACTCAATGGGCTGCTCGGAAGCGCCACATTTCGGTTCACGATATCGAGACTTTACTCTGTACTCCGTTGTATCGCGGGCGCCCCCCAGAGGATGAGAGTTACAGTACCCTTCTCATCGGCTCAATTTGGGTAGCTTTAGAATTTTCCTAAAATCGGCCATTTTACCCCTGTACTGGCCAGATTTTCAGTACCAAAAAATCTCTCTTTGACTGCTCCACGTACCATCCGACTCATGCCTGGCCCCATGCGGTGCTGGCTGTCCCTCACAGCATGCTGCCATCACATCTTTTTTCAAGTATACATGATCCTAGCCAGTTGTTGTAGAAAATACAAGAGCAAGGGTAACGATCGCTACCCCCGTGGTCGCAATTGCTCTCGGAACCATGTCTATCAAGGATGGACCCTAACGTCCTACCGAATACCGAGCTAGGATGGACATGATTCATACAACACAGCACTGACCCCCCCATGCATTCATGTCTACTAACAACTGCATTCGCGGTAGTAGAGCCGCTCATGCTACCGTGCTTATCTAGAATAAATACTAAGCTCTATCCCCACACATCTTCTCGAACCTCCCATCATCCAACTACCCACCATCGAACTATATTTCAGCGAATCTATCCACTCACTCAACTTTCGACATGGCCTTACTGGACCACATCACCCTAGAAGACACGCCCGCCGGGACTGCTGTGCGCAACTATCTCGAAGGTCAGCACGATTGCAGTGAACAAAGTTTTGCCTCTTCCCTGTCGGAAGACATCATCTTCCACGGGCAGATGTTCAAAGCGACCGGTCGCGACGCGGTTGTCGCCGGTTTTATGGAATTCCTCAACAATATGGTCGTCTCCATGCGCGTCGAGGCTGTCACACGCGTCGCAGATACCGACCAGTTCATCGCTCTATTCCACCTTTTGCTCAAGGGCAACGTCAAGGAAATGCCGATCGTTGATCTGGTTCGTGTCAAGGATGGTCAGATTTATCGTGTCGATAATTGCTTTGATATGGACAAGGTGACCAAGCAGATCTCGGAATACTCTGCCAAGGTTTCTAATATGTAATGACGCAGGCCACTTTTCTTTGATTAGTAAAAATCTTTGTCTCGACCCTTGAATCAATAGCATGTTCATTTTCGTCGTTGTTCAGTTTGCAAAATATGAAGTACCGATCAGTCCCCCAATGCGACAGTGTGTTCATTTGTTTGTCTTTGTGCAGGTTTGTCGTTTTTGGCGTCTTTGATTTTTGTCTGAGAATGTTCTTTACCAAGGGCATGCTTGCGAAATGAAAAAATTGTAGAAAAGCGTTCATCCATACTTCACACTGTGAGTTTTCCAAGCCTTGCATGGCAGGTCCATCATGCGAATTGCTTGGAGTCCGTACAGTACGTATCATACGGCGGGCCTGCCATGCACGGATTGGAAATTCGTTTTTCTGGAAACAGAGAAATGGAAGTTGCCGCTGTGAAGAGGCATCAAAATCATTATTGAGATCTCGGGCCCGGAGACAAGACATACTTTGAATACAATACCCTTAGGGTACAGTATGGTGAGTGTGTATTGCAACACTGCATTGTAGCGAGGGCGGCCGCCGTAGTTTAAGGGCTACAATAGCCTGGGGTGAATACCGTAGGACGTGGTTTGCAAACCTCATGCTGACTGATGGGCAGTAAGGACTACTGTAGTTTCACTCGATGAGACATTTCGAATAGTGTACGTAAAAACATGGCAATGCGAAAGATGTACAGTGTTGTTGGGATTAAAGCGTGGGCATTCAAGCAAGAGAGTTGTGGCCCAGAGGGACTCAGACTGCAAGAGCGATACATTCTTTCCTAGAGAACAAATTTCACGGATACCCAATGTTGAGTATAATATTCGTGAAGAGTAGGCTTAGTATGGGCCTGGCCTATTCGAGTGTTGGATGTCTACACGGGATGATACGGGATGACGTGCAATATGTGAAACGGGAGAAACGCATGTAAACTTTAGTCATGTCCGCAAATAGAGCCAGCCCCAATGGCCGGTACGGTCCATTGCCGGGTGCTTTGTTACCGCTTTCTGCCGAGAGGTTTTCGACTCAACGCACACATGCAGGGTGCAGGCTGGAGGGTTAAAATTTGTATAAATTTTGGGGTCTCTTCTGGACCCTGGATAGGATCCATCCTATATCACTCAAGTACAGTAACCCTCACCGATTCGAAGGCCAGCTGGGGAACTGTACGTACTGCGCAGGTGCATCAATCAGCTGGAGCCATTACGGATTCTGTCCAGCGCCATAGAAGGGGTGCTTTCTTCAGACAGCCAACGTCCCATTCCGTGTTTGAGCCGCGAATTGGGCGACCCTCTCTTGCCGTGGGCTTCCTGGAGACACAGCTTGTTGCAAAAACGCGCTCCGCAGACGGAAAGAAAGCCACCATGGAGCAAGTTCTTCGAGAAGCGATGAACTCTGTCAAGGTGCCCACCTCGCGAGACCGCGTTTACAAGAACGAATGCATGTTCTCATTTGACACCCCTGAGAGCACTGATGGTCTGTACACATCTTTAACGACCTGGCAGTCGTTTGGTGCAGACTATGTCGACCTTGACTATGAACGTCACCAGAATCCGCTCTACGTCAAGCAAGTATGGAAGCGCGTCGCAGTCGATGAAACTTCTGAGGACGAAGAAATGACACACACAAGCATCCCAACGAAGATGGCAATAGGTGTCAAAGGCGGTTTCGATATTAACAAGAAGTCGTATGACCAGCACGTTACAAATTATCTTTTCGTTATGCCGCAGCGGAAAGAAATTATGCTACCTTGCGATGAAATTCCTACAATGATCACGCTTGCAATTGATGGAGTTCTTAACCATCAAGGGTTCGAGCAGGTCGCACAACTAGCCGCGGCTTGGGAAGAGGAAGATAGGAAGGAATCGAGGTACGCCAAAGATTTGGTACAGTTGGAACTTGGGAAGAAAATTTCGCCCGATCCTAAACTTTGGAAGTGCGAGGAATCTGGAATGACTGAAAACCTTTGGCTCAATCTCTCGACCGGTTACATTGGTTCAGCGCGAAAGAATTTTGACGGTAGCGGTGGTACTGGCGCAGCTTTGAAGCACTTTGAAGAGACGGGAGGAAAGTATCCATTGGTAGTCAAGCTCGGCACAATTACTCCCTCCGGCGCGGACGTATATTCGTATGCTCCAGATGAGAACGAAATGGTCTTAGATCCCTATCTTGCGGACCACCTTGCGCATTGGGGTATCAACATGATGCAACAAGAGAAAACTGAGCAAACCACCGCTGAACTTGAGCTCAAGCTGAATGCCACCCACTCGTTTAGCAAAATAACGGAGAGCGGCTCAGAACTTGAGCCCCTTCACGGTCCGGGTTACATCGGATTGGACAACCTGGGCAACAGCTGCTATATGGCGTCCGTCATGCAAATACTGTTTTCGATTCCGGAAATGGAAGCGAGGTTCAAAGACTCTGCCTTGTCTATTTTTAAGAGCGTCTCTGGGGATCCTGCTGACGACCTGTTGGCCATGATGGCTAAGCTTGCCACAGGGTTGCTTTCGGAGAGGTATTCAAAGCCGGTACCATTCTACGAGAAGGATCCGGCGGGTTCTGTTGAGCTTCGCCTTTCGGCGAAAAAGGAGCTCGAGGGATATGGATCTATCAAACCATTTATGTTTAAAATGCTTATAGGAAAGGGACATCCAGAGTTTCGCAGCCCTCGGCAACAGGATGCCGTCGAGTTTTTTCAGTACTTTCTCGACAAGATTAGCAGAGCGGAACGAAGTGGACAGGACCGATTATCCAAAGCAATTGCCGGAGATAGTGCTTTCGTTCCAACTGCTGCATTATTCCAGTTTAAGGTTGAAGAGCGACTAGAGGATAACCAGTCTGGGAAAGTAAGATACACATCTCGGAGTGAGAACACGTTAGGACTTGCCATAGATCTGGATGCGGCCTTGAACAAAGCGCAATATGATGACTACCAGGAACAGCAAAAGACTACACTGAACACCGATGCGGAGGACAAAGCAGAGCCAGAACCGGTCCAGCTACAAGTTCCACTGTCGGCATGCTTGCGGCTTTTCGCTGAGCCAGAGCGGATCGATGACTTCAAATCTCCCGAGACTGGCACGAAGGGGTCTGCAAACAAGCGTACCAGGTTGGAGACTTTCCCTCCACACTTAGCAGTTTATCTGAAGAGATATTACATTGCAGACAATTGGGTACCAAAGAAGCTTGACGTTGCCGTTCTAATGCCAGAAGAACTGGATCTCAGCGAGCTGAAGAGCACTGGGCTAGTAGACGGCGAAGTCTTGTTACCCGATGTCCCTGAAGTCGAAAGCAGTCAGAAATCAACTGCACTCGTTCCGGACCCTGAGATTGTTGCTCAAATTATTGCGATGGGTTTCTCCGAGAATGGAGCGAAACGCGCGGCGCTGGCCACCAAGAACGCAGGCGCTGAGGCCAGCATGGAATGGGTGTTTGCACACATGAGCGACTCTGACTTTAACGAACCATTGCCAGCACCGGAAGATACGTCACCCCAAGCAGGAGCAGGACAATTCCGCGCCGAAGATGTGAGTAATCTTACTGCGATGGGGTTCACTGACAAGCAGGCACAAGCAGCGCTGAAAGCAACAGGCGGATCTTTGGAGCGTGCGGCAGACTGGTTGTTTAGTCACGCAGACGACTTAGATTCAGCAGTCGCGGCGGTGACAAATGAATCAGGTAACTCCGGATGCGGAAGCGGGGAATCTGCTCTTTCTGGAAGCATAATTGACGGAGAACCGAAGTACGAATTGCTCGGATTCGCAAGCCATCTTGGTAGCAATACGGGTTGTGGCCATTATGTGGCACACATCAAAAAGGAGGCTCGTTTTGTTCTTTTCAATGACGAGAAAGTTGCTGTTTCCCAAAATCCGCCCACAGATCTTGGCTTCTTGTACATATACCGTCGAAAGTGATTTCGATCACTCTGATTGTGGGGGCTTTGTGCTATTGGCTGGGAAGAACAAGTCGTCGTTGTTAAGATAAGTATGTGCAGGTGACGCAACCTTTACGCAGGGCTTGGTATCAGCATCTCTTTAGTTTCGTGGTCGGAAGAATGTAGAGTTTCTTAGGCTTTCGACGGAGATATTTTTGAAGTTTTCCCGTGATCCAAGCATCGTTTTCAATAAATCCCACCCAGCTCCATCATCCTTGTCTAGCAAACTAACGGCCTCTGTCCATTCCGGGTCTTCCGCGCAGTACTGACGGAAATTGGAAACATCTAATTCAAAGGTATCCTCGAACAAGACTTTGAACCTGTCTTGGGTGACCGGCTTTCCACCGTACGACGAAAAGATGACCTCCAGAAAGGCGTACCCAAGCGCATAGATGTCATCGGCATTGTAAAAACTGGCAATCTCGCCTGGGGTAACAGCTCCCGCTTTTCTGGCCTTTTCTAACCCATCGCCTACGGCTAGTGCGCTGACAGGTTTCGCGAAACCCAAGTCGCGAATTTTGACCAGAAGGCTGGATGCCAGGCGATACTCTGCCGTGTTAACCATGATACTCGCCAACCCCATGGAACGATGTACAATTCCGCCAGTGGAATGCAGATAGTATAGAGCATCAAGGGTTCTCTTCATAAACACGCGAAGAAAGATTGACCTTCGCTGCATCAAATTAGATGGAAACCATTTATCAAGCAGGGAGGTACCAGGGTCCGCGCCGGCGTCCTTCGCAGCTGCGCAGTTGAGCCCAGTTTGCATGCCCTCCCATCGAAAAACAAGAAACGGTGCACCTGCCGTTGGAGGGTTTGGCGAGTTTGGAAAGCGTCTCGCCCAGCTCGCCGCAAAGTCCGGGGAGGAAAACGATTCATCTGTCATGAAAGTGCCAAGCAGCGTCGCAACCGGGACGACATCGGGGTCAACACTACCTGCGGTCGCTTGGTACAAGGCTTGATACGCTTCCGCTTCGTTGACGCCCAATTCCACGCCGTCTTTCAAAAACTCCTTGAGCATGACACGGGCGTTGGACAGGCGTGGAAAGTTGCTCGTAATGCGGGCGTCATACAGGCGGATTGCCGGTTGGCTCGGCTGGACGGTTCGGGTGGGCGCGAGCGGATCCTTGACGCCGTAGTACTCCCAATCGGTGATGTTGGCGAAGGCTTGTTGGCCCACAATGCGACGAATCTCAAAGTCGGACGGTGCGAAATCGATGAGCAATGCTCTCGTGCATGGGCGTCGGCGCTTGGAGGGGCGCGGTCGCTTTGATGGGGAGATTGGTCGGACTTTGGGGGCGGGGTGGCGATGGGCACGCCATCCGGATGGGGCAATAAGGTTCGGAACAACAAACGCCATAGTATGTAGGTGCGGATGGAGATTGTTAGAGGCTTTGTAGTCCCGCACGTAGGTTCTAAGCGGAGGTAGCGCGAGGATCTGTCGAGCGTTTATCTGCTTTGGAGAAAGATGGCTCTTGATCTGAAGATTGCAGTGTGACAAGAGCTGAGGTCAGCTATACAGATGTGCTATGCGGTCAACCGCATAGCACATCTGTGTGGTTGGAAAGATTAGGACTGCTCTGTACTGTACCCTTGGTACTGCAACACGTGTACTAAATGTAATCAGAATGCGGGCAGGTCCAGCGATGACTTCACGCCATGCTTGCCTTTGCATGACTCTTTGTGCAGCAGAACATGACAAACCGAGACAGAGCAAACACGTGCAGCTTAGCCCTGCCTGTCTTTCCTCATCCCTTCTCTCACGGTTCATGACTCTCGTTAGAATCGACTCTACTGCAGAACAACCGACCAACCTGCGCCTGCTTCTGCCTTCCGGATGAGAAGACCATCCACTCTCAAGCCGATCCACCCCTGAGGCACCACAGATTGCACCTCCCTACCATGCCGCCTCATGTCTTCAAGCGCCTAGCCGCTTCCCTAGCCGCTTTGGGAGCCGCACTTAATCAGTTGCTTTACAAACATTTCTTCCCGGCTGCCATCCTGCTCGTTCTTGCAAACGCTCTCCTTTGCGCGTTTGTGATTGCCAAAGTGCCGTACACCGAGATCGACTGGGTCGCCTATATGGACGAAGTATCAGGCGTCATCAACGACAACGAATTCGATTATATCAAACTGCGCGGCGGCACGGGTCCCCTCGTCTACCCGGCTGGATTCGTTTACATTTATTCGCTACTCTATTACTTGACGGATCGCGGCCGAGACCTCCTCACGGCCCAGACTATCTTTGCCATGTTGCATTGTCTCAACTTATGCTTTGTGCTTTTCATCTATAGAAAGAGTTACAGAGATGCTTCAACCATCCATCCATTCCCTCTATGGATTGTTGTTTTCCTAGTGCTTTCGCGAAGAGTGATGTCGCTCTTCGTTTTGCGTCTATTCAATGATGCTGTTCAGATGCTTCTCATGCACGCCGCCATTTGCCTTTTCATTTCAAACAGATGGAGTTTGGGATGCCTCGTCTACAGTCTCTCCGTCTCTATTAAGATGAACGCCCTACTGTTCGCCCCGGGGCTTGCAGTCTTGCTCTGTCAGGCGCGTGGCACAGGTGGTGCCATTCGAAGGATCTTGGGTATTTGTTTCACCACTCAAGTCATATTAGGAGCTCCATTTTTGCTTCACGCCCCGAAGAGTTACGTGGCCCGTGCGTTTGAACTCACTCGCGAGTTCATGTACAAGTGGAGCGTCAACGGCGCCCTCCTGAAAGAGACCATTTTCTTAGATAAGAGATTGGCCATGCTGCTGCTCCTACTTCATTTGACTGTTCTAATTCTTTTCGGTCACTTCCGCTGGACCGCAGAGAGAAGCAAGGGCCTCCTGGAGTTCTTTCATTTGTCTCAAGCAAGTGTTAAAGACTCCATTTTGCGTATTGCAACACATGTTGAATCGAGAGATCTCAACACCAGTCACGTCGCTGGTGTTTTGTTCACAAGTAATTTCATTGGAATCGCGTTTGCGAGAACGCTGCACTATCAATTTTACCTTTGGTATGCGCACGCGCTCCCAATGCTCGTATGTCGAGGTGATTTCATGTGGATACGAAAATTGGCATTACTAGTGACGATCGAGGCTGTCTTCAATATATACCCTCCCGAAGCAACGGCAGCTGTCTCACTACATGTCGCGCATTTGGGAATACTGATTTCGCTATGGTTTGATAGGCGTGCAACGGATGCCTCCATATTCAAAGATGGCGATAACAGGGACAGCCTCAAGAGCTCATATCGGACAGACCATGGCGACAAGACGACATGATGCCTTCCGTCGCAGCGCTATCATTTGAAAAAGGAGGTCGATGATGGAGATCCCTTGCTTTCACTAACTTGGTGATGGACTGGCGGTTATTGCTCAACACGCATCGCAGGTAAAGGGCATATAGGACTATATGTCATTCAAGTTGGACCCAGAGTTCGTTCTTGCGGGAGGGTGTGAAGACGTCAGGCTTATTATCGACCACGATTCTGAAGGCGGTATCCGAAACGGGTTTGATGGAGGGAGATTTGGAAAGTGCAGCAAGCAGAACCTCGTGCAGTTTAGCGACGGTGGTATCTGTGACAGCTCCGTAAAAGGTCTTGACAGCAAATTTGGCGATTGGAAGTGGGCGGTTTTTGTCGGTTTCTGAGGTGGGGAGCTCAAGCGGATCAAAAAATGAAAGCCTGAGGGACCCGTTAACCTTGTCGATAGCGACGGGGGCCGTTCCCTTGCGCTGTTTCCAAACGCACACAACGCAAGAGTACTTGGTAAACGGCCAAATCGGGGAGAGATTCATGGCAAAATATTCAAACCTTGATGAATTTCGTGGTTTGGCACCGACGCCCGAGTATACATGACGAATGTCATAGGCGGAGGATTTAGACTCGATAAAAAAAGTGGGAGCAGCCTCCTGCCATGCGTCTGAAAGCGCGAAGGGAGGGTCTGCCGGATCAGCGAGGTGGACCTCATTCCTGCGCTTCCAAAACGGCTCTCCGGCGCCCTTTTCGAAGAGCTTGAGAGAGTACGGGACGGACTGGCCACGACCCAACTTGGCAAGGATTTTCGCGACGTTCAAGTTGCCAGCGGCCACCCCCGGGAATGCTGAGTGGGACGAGGCGGTGTCTTTTTCGGACGGCGGTTGGTCCGGGGAGAAGGAGAGGACGAGCGGACTGTCCTGCGACGGGCCGGCTTTGACGACGAAAGGACCGACCTTGGAGGCGACGGAGCGGTCGTACACGTTGAGGAACCAGCCGTAGCGGCCGAGAATTGGGAGCGGGAAAAGGTTTGTACAGGCGGTGCCTGTGATGCCCGGGGAGGAGATGAGGCCCGCGTCAGGGATCGGGACAGCCGCTGCGGTTGGCCTGAAGCGCGGGCAGCGGGAGCTTGGAGGTGGGCGGAAGCGTGGCGAATGAGGCGTGGGGAAGGCGGGCGGGAGGAAGGCGGGAGATGGGGTCATGATGGAGATAGGGGAGGCGGAGCGAGATTGCGGTTGCGTCGCATTGCCGCGGGGGGGGAGGGGGGAGGGGGGAGGGGGGAGGATGGCGAGGATATGGAGGGATCTGAGGACGTGCTCGTGATACGTGTACAGTACAATTGTACAGGGCGGAGAGGAGCAAGGGCAGGCACAACAGGTACACCAGGTGGCACTCTGTGAATGGCTAGGCTCTGTGTCGGATCTTGGCGAGGTTGCGTCATGGTGGGTCAGGTCAGACTTGATGTTACTTCTTGCGGGGCAGGTGTACAGTAGAATGATTAGTGGCGAGGATGCATCGTTTGCAGTCATTTGCAGAGCGCTTGCCGCCCATGCGATCGTCCCTTCCGCTTCCCAATCTGCAGTCTGGCCAGGCAACCCGCCTATCCCCAAATTTGCATACCACTTCCACCCTGGAATACACCTGCATCAAACGCCTCCCCACGTCGCTTCCTCTTCATGCCCACATCCCAACCCTTCTGCCGCCTCTCTCAAACAGCCGTCCTCGCGGCTCCAGCCTTCACTCCCCTCCGCCACTCCTCAGCTATGGCGCCCGCATTCATCGCCGCTCCGTTCCACGCCCCTCTGTACCGCCCTTCGCGACTAATCCGCCAACATCGCCGCCCCCTTATTGCCTCCCCAGGTCGCCGCCCTCCCCTGCGCGCAAATCTGCCCGCGTTCGACCACGCGCAGCCCTCTGTCGACCATCTTTCCGACTTCCGCCCGCTCGTCAACCCGAGCCTCCCCCTTCTGGAAGAGGACCCATCCGCGGCCGCTTTCGATCCCTCCTACGCCGGCGGCGCCGGCTCCGCCTCTGGAATCGGCGGCAATTCTGGCGGCGGTGGCCCCGGCGGCAGTGGCAGCGGCGGCTCGGGCGAATCAGCCGATGACGAGCAGCTCTCCGCCCTGCTCTCCGACCAGAACGCCGCCCTCGCAGACATCCCCGCAGACATCCTCGCCGCGTATCGCAACGGCTATGTAGGCCTGGACGCAATTGCTAACTACTTCTCGGCCAACGCCAACTGGCTCAGCAGCATTCTCATGCGCTGCGGCTCCGGCATGCGCAACCGCTTTCTCGCGGATAAGTTGTTTCTGCTCAAGATCTGTATCGAAGAAGGCATCGGTGTCTTCGGCAAGCTCAGCGCCGAGTACGAGCAGCGTCGCGAGATGTTCTGGAGGCAGGGCGAGTTTGTCTTCGCAAACTTGATCACCGCCATCCTAGCAGACTTTGCCCTCGTCTATCTTCCAGCACCTTCCGTTGCGCTCAAGCGTGCTTCGGGAACTGGATTTGGTGGGTGGTTGGCAAACCTGTCTACCACTTTGCCTAGCAATATTTTCCAGACCGATCGTCCGTTCACTATGTCCCAACGGGCAGGTGGTTTTGCGCTCAAGGCTTCTCAGCTTTTCGCTGTCGGCATGCTTTGTTGTTTCACGGGTGTAATTGTTACCAACACTCTCATCTTCATTCGCGAGAGGCTTGACAAGACTTACAAGCCCAAGACCCAGAAGCAAAATCCATTGCTCGTGTCCTTGCTGTATGCTACGTTTTTGGGCGCCTCGTCGGGCAGCCGTTATCAGTTAGTCAATGGCATTGAAAGCCACATCTTCCCTCGCATCTTTGCAAAAACACCCAGATTGCTCGAAGAAGCTTCCACGTTTGTGCTAAGGTATGGAAATACCTTCTGGGGATCGCAACAATGGGTTATGTTCTGTCGCTTTACAAAGGTCCAGAAATCCAAGGAGTAAATTAGATGCTCCCGTGCTTCTCACTTACCCCGGCTCCGGACCAAATGACTCATCAATGTACAATAGGAAACGTGTTCGCAAATTGTTAGTTATAGTTTCGTCTTATGCAACTCGTACGTACAAGCTTGAGCCCCAGCGCCGCTCATGTGTGAACTTGGGCCGGACAGAGACAAACCTATTCAATTTGCTTCACGCCAAGGTTTTCATTCCCCAGTGGTGTGCCTTGGGTACACAAGTCCCAGTAATGCTCGACGCCATGCTTTCGGAAATGATACCTACACTCTCTTTGTGTTCTTGCACTCGTTATGTTGAATTCTTTAAACGCGTTCGAGGCGATCGGGCCCTCCCAAACGAGAAGACACGAATTGTCTCTATTATTTCCGTGGTCCTCTGCGGAAGGTTCCTGGTTGGTCTCCTTTTCGACATTGCCCTCAGCTTCCCGTTTGGCATTCCAGTCAATCCTTCTAAGCATCAACTTTTTGTACTTGCGCAGAGCTTTCAGACCTCCTTCAGCAACCACCACATTGCATCCACCAAAACTTAAAAGCGTACCCGTCATTTCCCATTGCCTCGCATTGATGTCAATCTTAAAGCGATGCTGCGGGTTCCGCATATCCGTTATGCGGAAGACGGCTGCGTGCATCCCAGCTTCTCTATCTTTTGCAATCTTCGTATGTACCTTTTCTCGTCGTTCTTCTTTCGTTTTCTTCCGCGCCTCGTTTTCCATTTCATGTTTGCGTCTTCGAGCTTCAACTTGTGCGCGAACCTCTTCTTCAACTTTTGTTGGGTCCGCACTCGCCTCGTTCGCTAGCACACGCACCAGATTGCTGAGCTTCACCTTCGGCTTCGGAGGTGGGAGCAAGCCGACGGCAACCATCTCTTGTTGCTCTTTCTGAGCTTCCATTCGTCTCTTTCTGCGAAGCTTCTTCGTCTCCTTCTTCGTCAGCATCAGAGGCAACGCTGGAGGAGGCTTCTTCGGTCTTGTTGATTCAATGGGAGGTGGATGATGAATATAATGCGTGACTCTATCCGTTTTCAGTTCGATTTTGCAGTCCAAGTCCATGGCATCACTGTCTGCATCCTGCTTTTGTTCTTTTCGCTCAACGAGCTTATCCATTGCAGCGGCAGCTTCTTTCCGATTTGCCAGAAAGGGCAGGTCCCACCACTCCCATTGAGGAACCTCCCGCACTTGGTGACTCGCTCTCAAGTCATCAATGTGGGGAGGAAGAACAGGAAGGTTTGACTCCTGACGCTCCTTTGATATCAACTGAGCACGATAGTGAGCCACCTTCGCCTGGACCTGTGCCTCTTCCCGCTTCTTCCCGGCCTTCGCCACGATATCACCCTGGGGAATAAACACGAATTCCTTCCGCGGCTGACGCACCGCGTTTGCCGGCTTGGCAATGGACGCGTCGTAATACGGGTTCAATTCGGGATCCGTCTCGAGAAGATCCGCCGAGGACACTTTCAGCACGGAGGCGAGTTTCCGCTGCTTCTGCGCATCGCGGTTAATCCGCAACGTGGACACCGGGGCGACGGGAATGGCCGTGACGTCGAGCGGGAGCTTCGGCACGGCGGGCGGCGGGACGACCTGAGCGACGTGCCGGCGGGCCGCGGGCGACTGCAGCTGAGAAAAGCGCGAGCGGCCCGTGCGCCGCCGCTTCGGCGTGGGGGCCTGGTTCAGCTGCGGCGCATCGGACGGCGGCGCGGCCGCGGGACGCGGCAGGCGGGCGCGCAACGCGGCCACGGAGGCATTCGGGGGCGGCGGCGGTTTGGAGGGTGCAGCGGGGGCCGAGGGAGGGTTGGCGTCTTTGGCGTGCGATGGGGCGGCGTCCGTGGAGGGCGATGGGACGGAGGAGGCGAAGCGTGATCGGCGGCGGCGCTTCCGCGGGTTTTCAGGCGGATCGCGCACAGGGCTTCGCTTCGCCGCGGGAGCCTCCATGGGAGTTGCGGCTTTGGCGGAGGGCGGGGCGGCAGAAAAAGGAGTGGTGCGGGTAGCAAAGGAACGCGTGCCGGCTTGAAGCTGGTGTTGTTTGAGGACTTGATGCCCGCCGCGAGTGCCTGGGGGTGAGTCCGGGGGTGTGCTCGGGCGGAAAGGAAACGCGTGGGACAGGCGGACGGACTCAGGAGAGGAAAGGAAGGACGGGATTGGACGAGAATGTCTACAGTACAGTACAGTACAGTACTGTGAAACTGAGTGTTGTCCCCCACGTATAACACGTTGTCTGCGTGGTCTCCGTGTACCCCGACAAAGATCAAAACGGATTCAATGCATTCGTGTCCACGTGCGCAGTGACATGATACAGATGTATGATTGTAAAAATATTGTACATTTTGACCCTTGCGTTCAGCAAGGACATGGCCGGAAACAACGAAGCCACCTTTTAACCGTCACCCTGGTGCGATGTCGAGTTCAACGGCCGCTGCTCATCTTCCTCAAGGGTTGTGTGACTTCTCCTCAAATGATGAGCAACCTACCACAACCCTAATCTCTCTGAAAGTCCCATCCACGACTTCCTGTTGATGCACGTACAATCACCCCGCCGTCTACTACCAAAGCGGAAACAAACCCCTCGCAAATCTCCATCTCAACGAGTCATTCCTGCACCCCAAAATCACATCCTCGACAAACCATGTCCTCGCCATCTACAGAGGCTAAAGCGCCTCCAGCCGGCCCAACGGAACCCCTGCCCAAATATGTACAACTCCCTGAGCTCTCCCCAGACATCTGGCGCGTCATAGCCTCCACTCTCGACGTCAGTCAGCTCACGAATCTCTCGCAATCCTGCAAGCAGTTTCACCAAGCCATCGTCGCCGACGAAGTCTTTGAACATTTCTGTTTGCGAAAGTATGGAAACTCGTCCCCGCCGGCCTCCGTCGTGCAGGGCATATCGTGGCCCAATCTTTACCGACGCTCCTGTGCCATTCGCCTTCCCCCATCAACAGTCAGAAATGTCCCGCGCTTTGATTGTCGCGCCCGTATCCTTGCTACTGTAGCCGATTCCATAGTGCTTTTCTTTCAAAACGAGGGAAAGATTCGAGGCTTCCCCGTCGGCTGGGAGCGAGACGTGTCTGATTTATGTGACGATCCAGAGGAAGTCATCGCATGTTGCGTCCAGGTTCCGTCCTTGGGCCTGGGATTTCTACAGTCAAAGGCTGGCGGTACGGGCTTTGTGGATCAAGAGTTTTGGTCCAAATTCAAGACCATCGATGCCGTGTCTGGCGAGCTGCTCCATGAGATAGAAATTCCAGTGGGGAGGAAGGGTCTCACGCATGCGCGCATGGAATATTGCGTGTGCTACCCGAAAGCCATATACCTCGCTGGTCGCAATGGGCAGTTCTTGGCTTACTTTGTCGACGGTGGCGATGTGTTGCGCGTAGTAGACCGTCTTACAGGTGAAGAGGTCAGCAATTACTCAGTCACAGATGGCGCATTCGGGCGCTTGTTTAGAGCAGTCTTCCCAGAGACGGGCGGCTTCACCGTGGCGGGGGTGGTATATGTCAATGATGTCGTCGGCGGAACAGGCAAACGAAAATGTGCTATTCTCTTGTTCGATGAGGACCCCGAAGCAATGAACGAGTTTTTCATCGATGATGGGGAGGAACTTATCGACGTTGTGAAAGGGCACCTCCCCAAGGTGTTGGCGTACCGTGTCACAAAAGATCGCAAGACGCTCACTGTGTGGAGAGTTGAAGTGAGCTGTCAGGAAGAACAACAGAGCGATGTGCTCGTGGATATGGAAAGACGTTGGCCCATTCGTATAGCGACTGTAGATGATGGATCACTGGTGATGGCATCAGAAGAGTTCAGCATGTCTCCCAACGGGCGACAAATCTTCATCGTCCCGAAGGGTATTCGCAGCAACGCTGGGGTAGATCTCGCTCGACGTGTGTTTCGAGCTACGTTCAGTCCAGATGGGACGATGGCATCTACTGAGTCAGTGCTGCAAGGATTTGACCCCCCCGAAACAGGGTGGAGCTGGACAGCGATTTGTATGGAAAACCGGATGCTGGTGGTGTGTGCACAGTCGGCTGGATTGATCGCGCTGTTCAACTTGGAACATGGAGAACGTCTGTGGTCATTGGAATGTAGTGAACCGCTGTGGGACATGGCGTTAGTCGGGGAGCACTCTCTGGTGGGCATCGGGGCCAACTCTGGGCAGATCTATGCGTGGCATTTCGATGCATTCTGCAAGAAGCCTCAGAAAATGCGTTGTGAAGAGAGCTGGGCAGTCGGCAAATGTGTGCCACTATTCCCGAACGAGAACGATTCGGAAGGCAGCTCTTCATCGGAAAGCCCCAAGGAGGAGGCCGCAACGTTGGTTGAAAAAGACTCAGAATAGGGCGCCGATGGTATGCATACGGCGGGACGTCGCGTTGTCAAGCAAACCAAATAATGTTGTGCGCGCGGACGGACCTGTCTTACATCCGCCGTGACGGAAGAAAAGGTGTGGATCATGACACAAGCCTGAGTGGCTTTGATAGTTGCAAGCGGGGTCCGACTATGATACTTCCACACCAATCGTGGTCAAACGAGGAAGCTTTTGAAATTTTGATGGCAATTCTGCTGTGCTGTATCTCGGCTTTCTTTGCAACTTTATCGAACGGTCGGGTGAAACGAGCAACGACGGTGAAGTTTGCAACGCGATTGCCACGATGGTATGCGGAAAGCACACGCGTCCAAGTCTTCATAGAGGATTCAGCATTTTACAAGGACTTTCGAAGGATCTTCCGGTCCACGGTGCGCGGTGAGGGAGCATGTGCGACGCTCTGTAAAGAAGTTTATAAGATGGGCAGGAATTGGTCATCTCGTTTGCACCCAAGGCACAAACGTGGCGAGACAGGGTGGACGAGGTCTTATATGAAGAATCCTCTAACCTGTTGATCTGCCAGGTGACGCATTGTGATTGGATGTACCATGACGACATTCCCAAAACAGCATTGTGATTCGCGGAGCACATCTTCTCTTCGTTAATGCGGCAACGCAGTCGAGTATTTTTATCCGAACAAGCTCGTGCCAACGGCCCACCATCTAGTTGACGGCTTTCCTTAGTCAGAATGCTGTATATATATATATAGATATATAGACCAAGGTTAATTGCCGCGATCAGGTGTACTGCTGCAATACCGTACAGCAATAGAAAGAGTAACGTCCCCGCCCCCGCACTCCCAAACGTCTTCGCCCTGTTCCATGCTCCTCGTTGCCACCTCGAGAACGGTGCTCTTGCTCCAATCCGTCCGCCCTGCCTGCTTTTGCGAGCCCCTGAATTTCTTTTTCCAAACAACCGCAACTAAACCGTCCCCAGCTTCCAGAGCAGCAGCACCTATCGTACTGTAGCGCACTATAACAGAATACCTTCTCCCTTCTTCCCTGAATCCCCCTTGCTCCATTACACGCCTGACTCAGACAATTCCCAAAAACCTCGCCTGGCGAGCCGTCTCCTTTTCTACCCCACTGCCCCGAAGCTATGCACACCCGAATCCTTTTCTTTATCGTTTTTCTCTTGATACCTCCTTCCTCGAAAGCTTCTCATCTCACATATTCCACATCCACTCGCCTCAAGTCTGTCCCAGACTTCAATCACTCTTCCCGTGTCAAACTTCGTTCCCTTCACTCTCTCTCGTATGAACAACAAACCGCCCATCTCAAACTTCCTTCACTGTCGCGATCTGACAACGGCCGCAATCTCACGGGACAGGGCTGCAAAAGAGATTCGGACTGTCTCCATCCCCGCCTTTGCACCGACGGCCAGGGTGAAAAGTGCGACGGCAAGCTATGCGTCTGCGCCCCAATTCCCGCACTGGAATGCAAGCGAAATTCCGACTGCACTCCAGGGGAAGTCTGCGCTGTATTCGTGCTAGATGGCATTCCGACTGAAGGGTCCGCGCTTTGTGCCGAGAAAGACTATGTCGACAGCAACATCACCCAATTTGAACGAATCTACAGAGGGCTGACGTGGGACGCGTGCGTAACTACGACCGACTGCGAAGGAAATCGAGAATGCAGGTCTGTCCTACCAGATGATCAAAATGAGTGCCTTGGCGACCGACCGGAGTGCTACTGCTTCGGCTCTATTGAAGACTGTGTAAGCTGCACGCAATGCAGCCATCCAGACGAGGTCTGTGCCAATAAGACCGATGTCACACAAGGCGGACTTCAGTTTTGCGTCTCAAAAGTAGCAGAAGAAAGGGAGGTCTTCTTGACGTCACTTTGTCGTAGCGAGACACCCTCCGTCGCCCCGGAGCCTGTTGTGAGCCTGACCCCGAAGCCAACCGAACCGGCGGCTTCATCAGACGAACCATTATCTACGCCACAGCCTAAACCGATCGACGAAGAGAATCCCGCTAACACGTCTTCCGCCTCGTCAAGTACTCCACCCTTCACAACCGGCGGTCTTACCTGGGATCCCTGTCGATCGACAGACGAATGCAAAGGAGAGAGAACTTGTGAGATCGTAACCAAGGAAGAAGCAAGGCTGGAATGTAACAACGATCAAGAATCAATATGTAACTGCATTCCCGACAGAGTCATATCTTGTGCTAGCAATGCAGATTGCGAAGCGTCTGGGGAGATATGTGCGGAAAGGACAGACGTTGGGAGATCACGTCTGTTCTGTATTTCTCAAAGAGCCGAAGAAGTTCTAGACTTTTTCGAGCCTGTTACACCGTCACCTACCCCGTTGATCACTTCCAATCCTCCTCCCGCCGACACACCAGAGCCATTCGTCTGCATAGATGCTAGAATATTATCGCATTTGGCGGCGGAAGAGCTAATATTTAAAAAGCATGCTCATGCGACCGTCCTCTGCGACAAAAATGAAAGCTGTGCTACTCCTGCACACATGGTCATCTTCAATGATGAGACGATGATGATGAAATCTTACTGCTCCATTGTCAGCTGCAAGGAAATGGCGATGCTAGTAAATAGTCCAAGATATCGCCGCGGAATGACGGTTGAGACCTACACCAATGGTCTCCAGTTTACTTCGTTCGCTGCAAGGTATGGGACTTTGATAGAGGAGAGAATACTATCATCAGTTATTCGACATGGGTTCTAACATCTATTTCAAGACCGATCACTTGATATTCGATCCCTCCTAGTCTTTACGGAAACATCCGGGGCAAATTTGAGAGCCTAAGAAGTAAGAAGAATCTATGGCAGCTATGCCCAAGCTTTTTGACTGCGTGACAAGCCTCGACGTTCACACAGTGGGGTACTCGCGACTCTACACAATGTATTTCGTCATGTGGAGCAGACGTCTTTCGCGGCGTGACATTGCCCTTGAGATGACTGGTCTTATCCCCGCAATCAGAGGCGTACATCTGATACTGTAGTACAAGGACTACCCTTGGTATTAAAAGCTCGTGTCAACGTAACGTGTTGCTGCGGGCACCTGCACGCATCCACCAGTTACAGTATAACTCATCGCCATGCCAAGAGAGAAAGACTGCGGCTGTGCTCCACTACATGCTTACGTTGCAGCCTGCTTCCAATTCTGATATGCTTCAGCTCTTCACATGGGGGAAAGCATCCTTTTCTTGCACACGTGCACACACCATGCTAACAGCAGCCTACCCTCCTGGTAAGAGATCTACTCTACTAGTATACAAGTCTCTTACGTTGCAAGGCAAAGACGGGAGTTCTGCGACGACATGTATCGCATCTATCATATGATATCTCTGTTTTTGTCAATTAGTAGATAAGGAGCGTGCACGTAGCAAGTTCAGTTCTTGAAAATGTTTGTTTATTGACAGGGTGGGCCTGGTCAGAGCCTGTCCCAACACAGCCATGTCTCTCTTTCCGATATCAGCTCAGCTCACAGCACACACTGTAGTTTGAGCTCTGACGGCGTCATCGCCGGCGTCCGGTGTGAGTACAAAGCATGCGTACAGTAGGGGGACGCACATTATGTGCGCAAGCATTTCCGTGGCAAAACTCATTCTTTGTGCACAAAAAAGAAAAAAAAAATTTCCGGAGGCGCCTCTGTACCCTTCGAAGGGTACAACAGCTTTTGGCTTATGCGAGCGACACTGCAGTACAGTACACGTAAAGTTTACGGTACAAATGGAGGAGGCCTCGGGGACAGTTGCGGGCCAGTGATATTCCGGAGCACAAGCCAATAGGAATGCGGCAACAATACATCTGTTTCGTACTGGCCCCATGAGGAAACGAGATGCTCAGATTCCCGACTCAGACTTGGCATGTACTGTACAAGTACCCTTCCCCAAAAGGGTAATTTGGAGAAAAAGGGTAATTTGGAGAGCGTTGATTTTTTCGAAAATTATAGTATGTTGAACCGCACAGTTGTGAACGGGAAAGGAAAACAGGCTGAATCTGGGCGTGCCCAGTGCTGCAACATGGAACCCCCCCGCTCTATATTTGACACATGGGCAATTCAACTAAATATTTTAATTCCCGTTGGAACAGCAATAATCATTGTTGCTGCTGTGAAATAAGCACGTGTATCAACATCTAACCCAACAGTATACATATGATGAGCTCAAACAATAAAACCTAAAACACCTATTGATACCATCGCGTAAACCAACGACAGTTCTAACTATAAGAATCCTTAGGTAGCGAAATTCCTTGACGGGTAAATTCCGTCCTGCATGAATGGCCCAAGAACGCCAAGTTGCCGCTGCTGCTGCCAAAGAGGCAAAAGAGGAGCTTAAGAAGCGTAAAAAGGCGCAAAGAGAACATATGAGGCTTCAAAAAGAAGAAGCCAAAAGGATGAAAAAGATACGAAAATTGGCGATTTCCAATGCACAAGCTGCTTTCCCCCAAGGTCTTAAGTGTTCTGACCGGTCCAAGCGATGCAGATCAGCACCGGAGACCGTAGTGGCATCTTTGGGAGAACGTTCCATGGAAGAGAACGATGTCGTGGAGGCGCTGGTCACGCTTCATGCGCATGACATAGACACTCCAAATTGCCCTCTCCTTCCTCAAAAGGAGGCCACTTGTGATGAATAGACAAATGTGAATATCTCAAATAATATCCGTTTTCTGACCAATCTGAAGCTACCAACGAACTTTTGACCCAGTTTTGTATGTCATGGGGCCGAGCGTTTTTATATCCTACTAATAAATCTGTTTGTTTTTGCCATATTTCAAAGTTTACTCCAAATTACCCTTTTGGGGAAGGGTACCCTTCGAAGGGTATGATCTCAGCCTGAGATTCGAGTCTGAGTCCCTGGGTCCTGAGATTGGGCGCCTTCAGCAGGCGGTACTTCGCAAATGGAGACGTAACTGTTGTCCGTTTTATTTGGCCTAAAAGGGGGTACGCATATTTGTTGGCTTCATTCTTCCTTCCTACTCCTTTTCGTCTCCCCGTCGCCGCTCTCCCCCCTGGTGCCATCTCCTCTCATCTGCTCGATACAGTAGCTGCGCAAACGTAGTGCTTTAGACTGGAAGCAAGGAAGGAATGAATGAACAACTTCACAAAAATATTAAAACGCACCATCCATCCTACCCTCTTGTACTGTACGCAAGACAGCATGAACAATCATGTAATGTGTGAAAATTTCCCCCTTTATGGTTGGTGTAAAACACGTATAGGGTCAAACAGCACAAAACAGTCCGGGAAAAGGGCCGGCATCTCTGTGCCTTCTGTATTGTGCCCTAGAATACATCCGGTGGATACTCGTCGCAGTGCTTTGAAGGAATTATTCAACTGTACCTTGCTGTACCGAACGGCTTACCGTACCAACGGTACTGTACACACAAAAGATGTCATTGAAGCCAGCATATTTGTAAAGCAAACAAACAACTTTTTAGAGCACAGATGAAGATGACTGTCTTCATCAGGCAGCAATGTCCAAAGAAGAGCAACAATGCCCGCACTGGAGTGCACGCCATTGTTGCCCTTCTTGAGATCTCGTTTGTACTGTACCCTACACCCGCTGCACTGGAGCGCACGCCATTGTTGCCCTTCTTGAGATCTCGTTTGTACCCTACACCCCGCACACAGTACAAGATGACCATTCCAGCTTCAAAATGGTACTTTTCAACAGCAGCGCTTCCGAAGGTAACCGCTTTCCCAGGCATAAAAAGGCAGCAAATTCTTGCTCCACATCCCTTGTTTGAAAACATCAGCGTCCGTCACCACAAACTCCACACACCCTCCCGTTCCCTCTCTCAGTCCTCTTTCTTCGCCTTGTATCGCAACTGCAACGCACCTCTACTGTTGGACCGGTGACGATGCGTACCCTCGTCTTCCTGACAGCATTGTCCTTTCTGCTCGTCTTGTCTCGTACTCAAGCCGACAGACCTGATACTAGTATTCTTCTTGCTAAGAGCAATATTGCGAAGAATCAAGCTCGACTTCGCTCGTTGTCTCAGATATCCCACCCTAAGCTTCAGCCGATAAGAGCCTATACACTGCGTTCTGCTGATGTTGTTGGAGTTCAAGTTCGAGAGGGCCTGACGGGTGACGAATGCTCTCCGGACCTAGACTGTGTCGGATCAAGAGAATGCATTGATATAGAAGATGGAGAATCTTTCCCATGTTCAAACGAAAGTGACTATTGCTTCTGCTTCCCGGAAGAGGGATCCGAAAGCTGCGAATACAGTTATGAATGTGTAGAAGGGGAAGTATGCGCTTCCATTGACACCGGGAACCCAATGTGCGCTAGCAAGGCCTTCGTCACCGAAAGGTCCGATGCCGCTCAAACCGATGGCCTCACCTTCGATGCGTGTAAAGCTTCTTATCAGTGTATTGCCCCGCGCATATGTGAGGCTGTGCTGGATAATGATGAGCTCAAGGAATGTAACTATAATCATGACAAGCTCTGCAACTGCTTTGCAACGGAACTGACCAGGTGTGAAACAAGCGCCGATTGTGCGGATAGGGGAGAAATATGTGCGGAAAGAACTGATAGGGAATTAGGATATTTTCTTTGCATCTCAAGGGATAGCGTAGGACGGCTGTCATTTTGGAGCCCAGCCTCAACCGAGAATCCTGCAATTCCCTCCCCAGAGCCTAGTACTGAACCGAATTCATCGCCTTCCGCTACTCCCACGGGCCAGAGATTGCAAAACTGTAAGTATAGTTACGAGTGCACAGAAGGGGAAGTTTGCGCTTCCACTGACGGACAGGAACCAATCTGCAGAAGTGAGACCTTCGTTGGCGAAGATACGGCTACCGTTCAAACGGATGGACTCACCTGGGATGATTGTGAAACGTCTTCTCAGTGTATTGCCCCGCGCATGTGCGAGATTTTTCTGGACAATGACGAGCTCAAAGAATGTAACTATAATCATGACGAGCTCTGTCATTGCTTTGCATTGCCACTGACCGAGTGTGAAACAAACGCCGATTGTCCGGATAGGGGAGAAATATGTGCGGAAAGAACTGATAACGAATTAGAATCGTTCCTCTGCGTCTCAGAAGATAGTGTACGAAGGCTGTCATTTTGGAGACCAGCTCCTACTGTTACGGAATCGACTTCACCGGCTCCAACCAGTGCGATCAGTATACCATCACCAAGGCCAGTCGGCACGTTGCCGCCACAGTCGGATTGTATCGATGTAAGAGCTCTGTCACATCTCAGGGAAGAGGATCTCGTCTTCAAAACTCATTTCGTGGCACCGGTTCTATGCGATTCGAACGATAGTTGCGCGACTCCAGCGCACGTCGTGATGCATGACGGAAGGCCGATGATGATGAGAAGCTACTGCGCAACTGTGGGATGTACAAAGAAAAACATGTACGTGAACAGCCCCAAGTATTATCGCAGGCTTTTTGTCAAGTCTAAGACGCCGGGGCTACACTTTACTGTTTTTGCGGCAAGGTATGGGACTCGCCTTGAAGAGGTTGTGATTTCGTCTGTATTGCGACTTGGCTTCTAGACGAGAAAGAATGTTCAGGTATTGTATGTAGTGGAGCGAATGGGTCGATCCGGACGTGGTGTGAGTTTATCAAGAACGCAAGGTACATTATCGAGTTACGCATGGAAATATGTTGACGTGAAAGACGTCAAAGTTGAGGTAAAGGCGTGAGGCGTGTGAGATCTACGGGAGGACAGCACCAGACATCCTGCTGTCGTGTATGAAACGACGAGTCGGGCTCTCGGAGTGGTTGGAAAGGAATGTTTAGATCACCGTATTGTGATGATGGCATCTTGTAATGGGCGGAGTATCGTGGCAGTACAGTACTCGAAATTTGTAGCCCAGTAAATCAACATACCGTACCTTCGAAGGTACGGTATTGCGCAAGTACGGTACCCTTCGGGTACAGTATGCTGAAGACGCAGTGTTATCGTGTACCGTACCAAGGGTACAGGGTACCCTTCTGGGTCCTGTACCCAAGGGTACAGTACCAGTGGTACCCTTAAGGGTACTGTGTACTGTAGCTCACTCGTGTGCACTCTGCTACGCATGAGTAAGTCGTGGTACTGTACCAAGGGTAAAGTTGACTGTCTGTCCCCCTGCCTTGCTTGCCTGCCTTGCTTCTCGTAGTGAAGCTGAGCCTTCTGTGTGCTTTACGGTATGTACAGTTGTCGCAACCAATAAACTTGAAGCTTTGAATAAAAACTTGTCCTCAGGGCCTAGACATGACTATTGAATAATGCATATGACGAGTATCCACAATAGTCATTGTTGCGAATGCTAGCTCATACCGACGGATATCTGGATACTCTGTACTCTTTTTATGAGTGACACAGAATACTGGACTACAGTACAGAGTAAAGTCTCGATATGGTGAACCGAAATGTGGCGCTTCCGAGCAAGCAACCCACTGAGAGTTCGCCTTTCCGAGCCAGTTCACATGAACTCCACTGCGAACAGTGGCATAACTGCTCATGTACACGTGTAGCCGTCGTACAGGTACAGCGAGGCACACAACGTCACTTGATTTCACTTGCTTTCACTTGCTTTCACTTGCTTTCACTTGCTTTGACCCTGTGTGTCGACGGGCGACGTCGACGGGCGCATTCGGACATCCACAACTCTTCCCGTTGTGAATCGGCCTTCCCTCTATTTTTATAGCAAGCAAAGACGTATTGATAGCTTCTGTAGTCGTTGACGGTTAGTTTCTATTGTGCATTTAGGCCCCGGCAAAGTGAACTCTTGTTTTTTCATGCTTGTTATGTTCATTATATCGCGTAATTCATTCTAGCGAGTCTGCTTAACCTTAGAAATACGAAGCCGTCGTTTCTGGGCCAAAAAAGCGGGGTGGCGCCTCCCTCACAGCCTTTTGGTCCACTGCACCGGGACAGTTCATCCTATGAGGTAACCGGTTACATAGCTTATCGAGACTTTACTCTGTACAGGTACTGTATATACTGTACCCTTGGTACTACTGTACCCAACCCTTACATAAAGTGTATCATAAAGAAAGACAGGTTCTGACGCATCCAGCAACAAGATAAATGGATGCGCCTCCGTATCATAAATTTGTTTCACAAGTACAGCACTACGACCGCCACGCGCGGCTTCCGCCCACGATTAACCTCTACAGTACTTTGATCTCCGCCCGCCCACGGCAACACGTCTCGCCAAAACTGATTTGCCTCAACTTCCCGAAGAACGATTGAAATCCAAATTCGCACCCCGCGTTTACCTTCTATCATTCGCGCAGACTTTGCTCTTCTCTTGCGCCCTTCTTTACCTTCTTCACAGTGTCCGTACGCGCACCGGCAGCCTTTCGCCTCGACTCTCTCCTATTGCTGCCTCTGTCACACCCAACCCCCTCCCTCCCGGGAACAGCTCACGCCGGCTGCGCTTCCCTCTCTGTCCTTGTCACGAAATATGTAATCACTTGTACTTCCTCCCCGTCAACTTACCTCACGCTTTCCTTTCAATCTTCCATGCTCCTGTCTCGCAACACCCGAGGTATACGGCACTCTGCCCGATGCCGCCCCAATTGTCCTCCCCTCTTCCTTGTGCCACAGCAGGACCTCCTTCTCTGCTAACACATCTGGCCTGCCCGTGTTGCCCCATTCATACCGCCTCGCAAAACGGGCGTCCCCGATTTCGGCAAAAACATTTTTCTTGACCTCTTCCGGAATACAGTGTTTCATCAGGGCGCCCTTGCGTAAGCTTACTTCTGCTTGGAGCTATGTCGGGGGTCAAAAAGCTGCGGAAAAGGCATTTTGTGACAGTACATGGAACGTCTCATATATCATATGCTTGCTTGCTCCTGCTTTGTGCCTTGTGATGAGAGGCATCCTACAGTCCTGCAGAAAGAGCACTATCACTGTGTTTTACAGAAATCTTACATGTTCACACCTCGTCTGTGGGAACATCGTATTCCAAGGCCAGCAACATTGTCCGCAGCAAGCGTATCGCATTGCTGCCTTTCTTCAGATCCCGTTTGTACCGGCCCCATTACCGTCCATTTTTTGTACTGTATGCCAAGCTTCAGAACATCTTTGTCCGAAAGCGTGCGCAATGATGAAGGCGTATCAAAAATACCTCATCATCATTGCACACGTTGGAAACGCCACATCTTCCGCGCTTGTGGGTTTCACTTGCGCTGCATACGAACCCTTCCCTGGTCCCCCGCCACGCCCTCTCCTTATTCTCTGCGGCCCCGGTATATAATTGGCGACGACAATGTTTTCCTTTGTATCTCGGTTCTCAAACTGCAATACGCCTATACTGGTGAACCGATGATGAAGCGCACCCCCTTTTTCATGGCAATATTGTCTTTTCTGCTCGTCTTGTCTCGAACTCAAGCCGACCGATCTGATACTACTACTCTTCTTATCAAGAGCCAGATTTCGAAGAATCAGGCTCGACTTCACCCGTTGTCTCGGATATCCCACTCAAAGCTTAAGCTGAAAAGAGCCTTCACATTGCGTTCTGGTGATGTTGGTGGAGTGCAAGTTCGAGCAGGCCTGACGGGTGACGAATGCTCTCCGGACCAAGGCTGTGTCGGATCAAGAGAATGCACTGATGGAGAAGGTGAAGAAAATTTTCCATGTTCAAACGAAAGTGACAATTGCCTCTGCAACCCGGAAGAGGGATTCCAAAGCTGCGAATACAGTTATGAGTGTGTAGAAGGGGAACTCTGCGCTTCCATTCGCAAAGGGAGCCCATTCTGCTTAAGTAAGGCCTTCGTCGCCAACAACACCGCTACCGTTCAAACCGATGGATTCACCCTCGATGAGTGTGAAGCTTCTTCTCAGTGCATTGCCCCCCGCATATGCGAGTTTAAGCTGGACAATGACGAGTTCAAAGAATGTAACTATAATCGTGACGAGCTCTGCAATTGCTTTGCAACGCTACCGACCGAGTGTGAAGCAGACGCTGATTGTCCGGATAGAGCAGAAATATGTGCCGAAAGAACCGATTTGGAAATAGGGATGTTTCTTTGCATCTCAAAAGACAGCGTGCGAAGATTGTCATTTTGGAGACCAGCTCCAACCAGTGCGATCAGTTCACCGACTCCAACCAGTGCGACCGGTTTACCATCAACAAACCCAGTCGGCACGGTGCCGCCACAGTGGGATTGCATCGATGTAAGAGCTCTGTCACATCTCAGTGAAGAGGATCTCGTCTTCAAAACTCATTTCGTGGCACCGGTTCTATGCGATTCGAACGATAGTTGCGCGACTCCAGCGCACGTCGTGATGCATGACAGAAGGCCGATGATGATGAGGAGCTACTGCGCAACTGTGGGATGTACAAAGAAAAACATGTACGTGAACAGCCCCAAGTATTATCGCAGGCTTGTTGTCAAGTCTAAGACGCCGGGGCTACACTTTACTGTTTTTGCGGCAAGGTACGGGACTCGCCTTGAGGAGGTTGTGATTTCGTCTGTATTGCGACTTGGCTTCTAGACGAGAATGTTCAGTATTATATGTAATGGAGCGAATGGGACGCTCCGGACGTGGTGTGAGTTTATCAAGAAGGAAAGGTACATTATCGAGTGGGATATGGGATATATTCACGTCACATTAAAAAACGAAAGAGCGTGGGATGGGCGGCTTCGACGGGAGAACAGCCCCAGACATCTTGCTGTCGTGGCATGAAACGAATGAGTTGAGATCACGAACCTGTTCGAAAAGTATGTTTAAATCACTGTGCTATGAATCTGACACCTACGTTGTGCACAGTGTCCACTCAATAATATATCTAATATTATTAGAGAGGTGTATATCCGTAAATAATGTTTTTATGCATTCTGAAAAGGGCCTTCAGATTCTCATTCCGGTGAGCGCTTTCCAGGGGTAATGCGCCAGAGGCGTCCAAAGTACACTTATCCCAGTGGCGGGGTGTATGTATGCATAATTCCTGCACTGTACTATTTTGAGAAGCTCAGACCGTACGAACTCTGGGTGAAACGTGAAGAGTCTACCGGTGGTACTCTCGCAGTGACGAGGACGGGAGATGGTCGGGGGGGAACAGGAGATTCACCACAGGTGCTGGGCTTGTCTGCCGCTGTCTTTTCTTCGCATACTACCTTCGCTTAAATACATGTTCTCGCTCCTGTTCGCTTCTTACAGTATCTATCCATCGCTAGCTTAGTCGGGGTGTGCCGATATCGATTGCCTCTGCACGCCTGCAGACCCTTGTTTCCTCCTCTTCGCGTTCGCCCTTGCGCGGTGGGGTTCTGACTATTCGCCACGGTCATGCTTGACCCATGCCTTGTTCACCTTCGCAGTTTTGCTGATGGCTGACCCTTCGCTCCATATCTGACCTGCACCTATCCGCCGTTCTTAATCGTCATAGATCCGCGATGAATGTCGGTGGGATATCCACGGCCAAATTGGCACTGTCAAATAACAAACGTGTGGGTCCTATTCCTGTCGAGATGTACCCAGCAAGGTTCGACTGCGCTGAACTCTTAGGTCAGATGCTCACAACTCACATGTATTACAACAGATGAAAGCGGGCACGGTACAGAACCGCACTACACAGTGCCCAGTGCACTGCTGGTAGAAAGTGAGCACTCTCCGGTCTGTTGATACAGCAATGCAACGCAAGCCACGTCGAATGATGGATGCCGAGCTTCGTTTCTTGTTGGCGCCAGTAGGGAACAAATGTAGCGTTGCCGCCGCTCTATTGGATTACATTCGGAAATCCCTACGCGGCAACGATGACTGGATATTCGCATCCGTCTTTACTCTTCTCTTGCCACAGACTGCCATTGTAGAAGTGTCACAGAAGCCAGAAGCAAAGCTAAAAGCACCTCACCCAAAAGCTTGTCGTAGTCCTTCTTCCGGTGAGTGTCTGCAGGAACATGAACCTGTGATGGTAGACATACAGTGTACTGTACTACTGTCGCGAGACAGACCTCACGTGAATGGAGAACTGACCTGGTTATTGCTTCCCGCTTAAAGCATTGCTGTTAAGGCCGCCGCCCAGTCGTCAGCCAACTTCTGTGTGAAGTTCTGTCACCGATCAAATACCTTCCAGAAAACGCATTTTTGCACATACGTACACACACCCTATCGTATATCAGGTGCTTCCGCTTTCCTAGCATATACACTGCTCGTTCTAAGCAGTTTTCTATGTGAGAGGCACCGTATAATACTGTACCTACAGAAAAGGCATCCTCAATACGTTTTATTGAAATCAACACATCATCGCACCTCGTGTGTAGGATAACGTATTTTATGGCCAGCAACAATGTACCTGTTCGAGTGTTTGGCATTGTTGCCCTTGTTCAGATCCCGTTTGTATCCCCTCATCACCCAAAACTGTACCCTTGGGTATTGTATACCGCGTACCTGACCGAGCTTCAAAGCAACCTTGTCCGAAACCACCTCTTTCACACACAAGAGGGGTCATAGGGTACTAAAAAACATAAAGAGTCCATCAACAATATGTCTTCATCATTGTGCACATTGGAAACGCCCCATCTTCTGCGCTTGCGGGTTTCACTCGCGCTGCATACGAATCCTTCCGCGGTCCCCCGCCCCGACTTTTCCCTAGTCTCTGCAACCCCGGTAGAGAATTCACAGTGACGATTTTCCTTCATATCTCGGTTCTCAAAGTTGTAGTGCCCTTACACTTGTGAACCGATGATGAAGCGCACCCCTTTTTTCATGGCAATATTGTCCTTTCTGCTCGTCTTGTCTCGAACTCAAGCCGACAGATCTGATACTACTACTCTTCTTATCAAGAGCCAGATTTCGAAGAATCAGGCTCGACTTCACCCGTTGTCTCGGATATCCCACTCAAAGCTTAAGCTGAAAAGAGTTTTTACAATGCGTTCTGGTGATGTTGTTGGAGTGCAAGTTCGAGCAGGCCTGACGAGTGACGAATGCTCTTCGGACCAAGACTGTGTCGGATCAAGAGAATGCATATATCTAGAAGATGACGAAATTTTTCCATGTTCAAACAAAAGTGAACATGGAAAAAATTCTTCTTCCTGGTGCTTCTGCTTCGGGGAAGAGCATTTCCAAATCTGCGATTACAGTCATGAGTGTGTAGAAGGGGAACTCTGTGCTTCCATTGGCGGAGAGAGACCATTCTGCGTAAGTAAGGACTACGTCGCCGAAAACCCTGGTGTCGTTCAAACCGATGGACTCACCTGGGATGATTGTGAAGCTCCCTCGCAGTGTATTCCCCCGCACATATGCAGGATTAAGCTGGACGATGATGAGTTCAAAGAATGTAACTATAATCCTGACGAGCTTTGTCATTGCTTTGCGGAGCGCACTGCCGAGTGTGAAACAAACGCCGATTGTCCGGATAGGGGAGAAATATGTGCAGAAAGAACCGATAAGGAATTAGAATCGTTCTACTGCATCTCAGAAGATAGCGTACAAAGGCCGTCATTTTGGCGACCAGCTCCTACTCCAACCAGTGTGATCAGTTCACCATTACCAATTCTAGACGTCACGTTGCCGCCACCGTCTGATTGTATCGATGTAAGAGCTCTGTCACATCTCAGTGAAGAAGATCTCGTCTTCAAAACTCATTTCGTGGCACCGGTTCTATGCGATTCGAACGATAGTTGCGCGACTCCAGCGCACGTCGTGATGCATGACGGAAGGCCGATGATGATGAGGAGCTACTGCGCAACTGTGGGATGTACAAAGAAAAACATGTATGTGAACAGCCCCAAGTATTATCGCAGGCTTGTTGTCAAGTCTAAGACGCCGGGGCTACACTTTACTGTTTTTGCGGCAAGGTACGGGACTCGCCTTGAAGAGGTTGTGATTTCGTCTGTATTGCGACTTGGCTTCTAGACGAGAATGTTCAGGTATTATATGTAATGGAGCGAATGGGTTGATCCGAACGTGGTGTGAGTTTATCAAGAAGGAAAGGTACATTATCGAGTGGGATATGGGATATATTCACGTCACATTAAAAAACGAAAGAGCGTGGGATGGGCGGCTTCGACGGGAGAACAGCCCCAGACATCTTGCTGTCGTGGCATGAAACGAATGAGTTGAGATCACGAACTTGTTCGAAAAGTATGTTTAAATCACTGTGCTATGAATCTGACACCTACGTTGCGCACAGTGTCCACTCAATAATATATCTAATATTATTAGAGAGGTGTATATCCGTAAATAATGTTTTTATGCATTCTGAAAAGGGCCTTCAGATTCTCATTCCGGTGAGCGCTTTCCAGGGGTGATGCGCCAGAGGCGTCCAAAGTGCATTTATCCCAGTGGCGGGGTGTATCTATGCATAATTCCTGCACTGTACTATTTTGAGAAGCTCAGACCGTACGAACTCTGGGTGAAACGTGAAGAGTCTACCGGTGGTACTCTCGCAGTGACGAGGACGGGAGATGGTCGGGGGGGGAACAGCAGATTCACCACAGGTGCTGGGCTTGTCTGCTGCTGCCTTTTCTTCGCATACTACCTTCGCTTAAATACATGTTGTCGCTCCTGCTCGCTTCGTACAGTATCTATCCATCGCTAGCTTAGTCGGGGTGTGCCGATATCGATTGCCTCTGCACGCCTGCAGACCCTTGTCGCCTCTTCGCGTTCGCCCTTGCGCGGTGGGGTTCTGATTATTCGCCACGGTCATGCTTGACCCATGCCCTGTCCACCTTCGCAGTTTTGCTGATGGCTGACCCTTCGCTCCATATCTGACCTGCACCTATCCGCCGTTCTTAATCGTCATAGATCCGCGATGAATATCGGTGGGATATCCACGGCCAAATTGGCACTGAAAAAGCCGTTTGGCCTCGTGTATTCTACAACTATACAGTAGTGTGTACGTCTGCCACGCACTGGTGGAGATTCTTGCCGGTCGGGCTCGGTCCACCAAAAGACTCCTGTCGAAAGCCGATCGCTTCGCGCAGGCTTATTCACTTTGGCCTTTCTTGTTCGCGAAGACCCCCCTCTTCCTCTGCGGGCTTCTCTGCCTCTTTATACGTGCCGCGGCAGCCATTCGCTTCGAACCCTTCCCATCGATCCCGTCTGTCGCAGCCGCCCTCGTCCAACCCTGGCAGCAAGTATGGGCAGCAGTGCTTCCTTTCCGTCTCCCGCACTGGTTCCGCCCCAGCCGAAGGTATACTCTTCCCTGCACCAAGTGCACTCCAATCCCAATGGCCTCCTCCGTCCTCCGTACGACAGTAGGACCTCTACCTCCGCGAAGACCTCCTGTCCGGCTACGTTGTCCCTCTCGCATGGCACGCACAATACTCATCTTCTCTGCTTGCATCCTGCTTGGAGACAACTGTAAGCCACACTCGACCATTTCCCTAGGATCTAAACATTTGAGGCACCGTTTTGCGGAGATTCGTAATATAGTTGTACGGTTCTTCCCTGATACTTGTCGCTGACATGTCGATGTAGGCGATCTTGCAATGGGCTCATCGTATTTCGGCAACACATGCACATGTTTGACCTTTGGCGACGAAAGTACAATGTACAATCGATCCCCGCCCCGCCATAGTACTGTACTCCCCTACTAATCCCGACAATGCTGTTCAGTATCTATTTATCAGGATTTGTTATAACTCGCAGGAGAGTTTTCACACCGAATCGCACTTCTGTATCGTTACTGTACTGGGGAGGGAATACGGGACTTGGTTTGTTGCGTGGGAGAGGACATTAGAAGGGGTGGGCTGGCTGGAACTAAGGGAGTAGAGAAAGTGGAAAATGAAATAGGATTGTAGTCCTGTACATGATGATGAGGTGACACAGAAAAGAGGTGAGGGGAGCTCAAAGGAGATGGGGAGGTTGATGCTCCGAGGGTAGACAGACATGTGGTCGTCAGAAGCTTTGATTTTACCGTCATGTCATATAACAAACGTGTGGGTCCTATTCCTGTCGAGATGCACTCAGCAAGGTTCGACTGCGCTAAACTCTTAGGTCAGATGTTCACAACTCACATGTGCTACCACAGATGAAAACGGACACAGTACGGTACCGCACTACACAGAGCACATTGCACTGCTGGCAAGAAAGTGAGCACTCTCCGGTCTGGTGATACAGCAATGCAACGCAAGCCACGTCGAATGATGGATGCCGAGCTTCGTTTCTTGTTGGCGCCAGTAGGGAACAAATGTAGCGTTGCCGCCGCTCTATTGGATTACATTCGGAAATCCCTACGCGGCAACGATGACTGGATATTCACGTCCGTCTTTACTCTTCTCTTGCTACAGACTGCCATTGACATTATAGAGGTGTCACAAAAGCCAGAAGTGAAGCCAGAAGCGCCTTGCCCAAAAGCTTGTCGTAGTCCTTCTGAGTTTCTGCAGGAACATAATAAACCTGTGATAGTAGACATACTACTGTCGCGAGACAGACCTCACACGTGAATGGAGAACTGACCTGGTTATTGCTTCCCGCTTAAAACATCGCTGTTAAGGCCGCCGCCCAGTCGTCAGCCAACTTCTGTGTGAAGTTCCGTCACGGATCAAATACCTTCCAGAAAACGCATTTTTGCACATACGTACACACACCCTATCGTACAGTATATCAGGTGCTTCCGCTTTCCTAGCATATACACTGCTCGTTCTAAGCAGTTTTCTATGTGAGAGGCACCGTATAATACTGTACCTACAGAAAAGGCATTCTCAATACGTTTTATTGAAATCAACACATCATCGCACCTCGTGTGTAGGATAACGTATTTTATGGCCAGCAACAATGTACTTGTTCGAGTGTTTGGCATTGTTGCCCTTGTTCAGATCCCGTTTGTATCCCCTCATCACCCAATACTGTACCCTTTGGTACTGTATACCGCGTACCTGACCGAGCTTCAAAGCAACCTTGTCCGAAACCACCTCTTGCACACACAAGAGGGCTCATAGGGCACTACACCAACATGTTAAAAGACATAAAGAGTCCATCAACAATACGTCTTCATCATTGCGCACATTGGAAACGCCCCATCTTCTGCGCTTGCGGGTTTCACTCGCGCTGCATACGAATCCTTCCCCGGTCCCCCGCCCCGACCTCTCCCTATTCTCTGCAACCCCGGTAGAGAATTGACAGTGTTGATTATCCTTCATATCTCGGTTCTCAAAGTTGTAGTGCCCTTACACTTGTGAACCGATGATGAAGCGCACCCCTTTTTTCATGGCAATATTGTCCTTTCTGCTCGTCTTGTCTCGAACTCAAGCCGACAGATCTGATACTACTACTCTTCTTATCAAGAGCCAGATTTCGAAGAATCAGGCTCGACTTCACCCGTTGTCTCGGATATCCCACTCAAAGCTTAAGCTGAAAAGAGCCTTTACAATGCGTTCTGGTGATGTTGTTGGAGTGCAAGTTCGAGCAGGCCTGACGGCTGACGAATGCTCTTCGGACCAAGACTGTGTCGGATCAAGAGAATGCATATATCTAGAAGATGACGAAATTTTTCCATGTTCAAACAAAAGTGAACATGGAAAAAATTCTTCTTCCTGGTGCTTCTGCTTCGGGGAAGAGCATTTCCAAATCTGCGATTACAGTCATGAGTGTGTAGAAGGGGAACTCTGTGCTTCCATTGGCGGAGAGAGACCATTCTGCCTAAGTAAGGACTACGTCGCCGAAAATCCTGGTGTCGTTCAAACCGATGGACTCACCTTCGATGAGTGTGAAGCTTCTTCTCAGTGTATTGCCCCGCGCATATGTGAGATTGTGCTGGATAATGATGAGCTCAAGGAATGTAACTATAATCATGACGAGCGCTGCAATTGCTTTGCAACGCAATTGACCGAGTGTGAAACAGACGCTGATTGTCCGGGTAGAGCAGAAATTTGTGCCGAAAGAACCGATGTGGAATTAGAGTCGTTTCTTTGCATCTCAAAAGATAGTGTGCGAAGATTGTCATTTTGGAGACCAGCTCCAGTCGGGGGTTCTCCAACTCCTACCACCAAGCCTTGTACAGGATCGACTTCACCGCCTCCTGCTGCTCCCACGAGGCACCAATTGCAAAACTGTGGATACAGTTACGAGTGTGTGGAAGGGGAAGTTTGCGCTTCCACTGACGGAACAGAGCCATTCTGTACAGCTCGGATCTTTGCCATCCTAAGTGCCAATACCGTTCAAACCGATGGACTCACCTGGGATGATTGTGAAGCGTCTTCTCAGTGTATTGCCCCCCGCATATGTGAGATTGTGCTGGATAATGATGAGCTCAAGGAATGTAACTATAATCATGACGAGCGCTGCAATTGCTTTGCAACGCAATTGACCGAGTGTGAAACAAACGCCGATTGTCCGGATGGGGGAGAAATATGTGCGGAAAGAACTGATACAGAATTAGAATCGTTCTACTGCATCTCTGAAGATAGTGTACGAAGGCTGTCATTTTGGCGAGCAGTTCCCGCGGGGGCGCCTAGCCCGGGGCCGACGTTTTAATAGCCTCTCTCTTTTTAAGTCCTAGCAGCGGTCCACTCACAACAGAAGGCCTCACTCTTGATCCTTGCTCTGCAAGCAGTGATTGTCAGGAAACCGACTGTGTGGTTATTTTAGGGACGAGGAATGGCAGAGGTGTAATACTAATCTCGATGTAGGGTGCGTTTGAAAACTTGATCGAGTGTTAGACTGTGCAAAGTGCCGATGGACAATGGAGAAGTATGCGCACGGTTCTTAGAAAGCGGCGTTACTTTTCTGTGCTTCAGAGAAAGCAGTTACGAGCTGCAGTTTACTTGGCAGAGCTCCTTCGTCCTCAGCGACACCTTACGTAGTGGTATCAGTGACTATGTCGTAGAATGATGTGTACTGTAGCGAACTGCTGTTCTTATTGCTCACTAAAAGTGGCCCAGATTGAACTACAAAGACGGCTTTTTTTGTATGTTGCGACAACTGTGCGCAGTACAGTATACGTATGCCGGTGCAACCATGACATGCATCGCTTTCACCTACATGGTTATATTTTTCGGTAAGGGTGTCCCAATTGACAAGCTACTACCAACATGTGAAGGCACACAGGGCGAAGTACACACTAGTGCAGCGCAAACCGCTGCGCTATAACCATGGAACGCCGCGTGCCCAGTTTGTATAAGCACTAGCCGGTATTCTGAAGAGCCGATGACAATCCCTTCATCGAAATAACCAGTGCGTCGACGAGTTGGTTCGCTTTCAGTTGATCAACTTCTGGTTTTACAACCCCCTTGACTGAAACAGATCTCCATCGCTTGAGAAGCTCAACTTGAGCTAGATTCATAGGAGTCAACCACTCCAAACGAGTCTCGATTGCTCGCTGCTGCACGCGATCCTTATCCAAAAGCCTCTGTTCTCCAGATACCTGCAACACGAGATCTATTGTTTCCACGAGTAAATCTCGAAGCATACTACCAAATTGCTTTTGTTCCTCCTCCTCCACGAGAACATCCTCATAACGACTCGAAATATGAGGATCAGCCTTTGCGAGCACCATCCCAATGAGATCGAAAAACGACCGGAAGAAAGGCCACTTTTCGTACATTTCTCTCAGCAATTGCTTTCCTCCAGCTTCATTCATCCCGGTTTGTAATGCAGATCCCAAACCAAGCCAAACAGGAAGGTGTAGCCGAGTTTGAGTCCAAGCGAAAACCCACGGAATGGCCCGAAGTGTTTCCACTCCGCCTTCCTTTCGTTTTTGAGGCCTTGACCCGATGTTGAGGAGGCCCAATTCTTGCTCTGGAGTCGAAGAACGAAAGTATTGTACGAAGCGCGGATCTCCATGAACGATTTCTCGGTACTTGGTGCAAGATACTTCCGAAAGCTTATCAAGAAGTTCCCTGTATTCGGGTTTGACGACTACTGGCTCAGTGAGATCTGCCTTGAGAACCGCAGTCGTGTACGTCTCCAGGGTTCTCAAGGCAAGGTTAGGCAGTCCAAAGTCCTGCTCCATGACTTCTCCCTGGATAGTCACCCTCAAATATTGGTTAACAGTCCCCGGAGGCTGAGACAAAATAGCGAGATGTTGGGGACCGCCTCCGCGTCCGACAGTTCCGCCTCGACCATGGAAGAATCGGAGAGTAACTCCATGTTTTGCAGCGCATTCCACCATATGCTCTTGTGCTTTGTACAGCTCCCAGGCAGAAGTCAGTCGACCACCGTCTTTTCCACTATCTGAATACCCAACCATGACCTCTTGTACGGAGTCGAATCGTCGCTCAAGGTGCTTGCGATACCATTTGTTCTCAAAGAGTGTGCCCAGCACCATTGCAGAATCTTGAAGAGCATTAATTGTCTCTAAAAGAGGTACTACACGAAGAGATGACTCACCACAATTGCTTGAGCATTCCCTCTGAAGAACTTCCACAGCGAGAACATCGGATGGCTTCATGCACATTGAAATGATATACGCCCCAAGAGCCTCAGGACCAAGGTCAGAGACGACTTCGAAAGTATCGAGTACGTTCTTTGCCTTGCCAGTGGCAGAGTGAGCACGAGGAATAAGGGGCCTTTTCCCTTCCAAATTTTCTGTCAGGAACTTGATGCGCTGGTCCTCATCCATCTCCGCATAGCTGCCAAGGCCAATGTATCTCGTAATGAAATCGAGAGCATTGGTATGTTCTTCGGCTTCTTGACGAATGTCAAGTTTGACAATAGTGAGGCCAAAGATGTGAACTCGACGGATTAAATCCTTGAGTTTTCCATCGGCAATAATTTCATCCCCTGTGTCGACCAGGGAGCGATACATGATGTTAAGCGGCTCTAGGAGCTCATCCTTGGTCGTGTAGATGGGGGCTGCTGGGTTTGATTGGGGCGGGGGCATATTGGAAAGCAAGGCTTCACAATGATCACGGGTGGCGGTCATACGGTCGCGAATGTAGGAAAAGCAAACTCGAAACGGTTCCTTCGGGGGGACATAGTTCCAAAACTCCTTGTACTTGATCTTTGTGGTGACGTTGAGGTCCGGACGTGATTTGGCGGCTTGGTCGGTTTGCTTGGCGATCTTCTTGTTATAGTCGAGGAGTTCATCGGAACCATAGTGAATCGAGAGATCAAAGAGCAAGCTTTCAATCTCAGCAAGATAGAGGCATGCAGCGCGGTAGCGATTGATATTGACGACCTCTACTGTTACATCCGGGGTAACAAATGGATTACCATCACGGTCGCCGCCAGCCCAGGATCCGAAAACAAAAGGAGTTGCATGTAGAGGGATAGGCTTAAGGCCATTCTTGATAAAAAAGTGATCCATTCGGGAGATATAGATAGGGGTGGCATGCCAAGCGGTCTCCTCGATGACATGGATAATATTCCTAGCCTCATCCTCTGGTTTTGGCTTGGAACGACGGACCTCGTCTGTGCGCCACAGGCAAAGGAGATTTGCTTTGAGAAGCTCCTCATTGATACGACTCTGCTCCGGTGTAAGATAAGCATCATGACTGGCTTCGATGATTTTTGCGATGTCGTGAAGCTTTGCGAGAATAGAGCGACGGACGGCCTGGGTGGGGTGTGCGGTGAGGACCATCTCGACGGTCTGGGAGCAGATCTGGTCGCGAATCTGGTGGAGCGAAAAGCCGTTGCGTTGGAGGTCGTCGACGATTTCTTCGAGGGAGTGACGCGAAAGAAATGAGGACTCGCCCCGATCAAAGGCCTTTCGGCGACGAATGCGGTGGACGTGCTCGGCGAGGTTGGCGAGGTTGCACATGTTGGAGAAGAGGGAGCCGATGATGGTGAGCTGGTCGACCGAGAGGGATTCGATGAGGTTTGCGAGGTTGGCAAAGGCCTTGTCGTCCTTGCTGGAGACGTCGTAGATCTTGGCGAGGGTTTTGACGTTGCCGAGGAGGGCGATGGTGGCAGGGGGACAGCTCTTCTCAATGAGGGAGAAGAGGGTGTCGCAGAGATGGGAGACATCGGCCTGGAGGGGGGAGATGAAGTCGACTGAGTCGCTTTTGAGAAGGGGGTTGACGCCTTTCATGGCGGAGCGCAGCATGGAGGGCACTGGGGGTCCAACCATGGAGGGGAAAGTGGGGGGAGGGGACTTGAGGTGAGGTCGGGGAAGTGGAGGGGGGATGGGGGATGGGAGATGGGGGGTTTTGAAGGGGAACGAAGGGTGTGCGGGAAGCGAAAGGATGCGGGACAGTTAAGGTGTGGCAGGAGGAGGATGCATAGGGGAGATCGTGAATGCAGTGTTTGGTATGCGAGGACCTCGCGAAACGTGTCTCCTCGTGTGCTCGACAGCGAATGAAAGGCATAGAACAAACTTTTTCCTTTGCTCTTCCGCTGTCGCCTGTAGATTCCGAATTTCTAAGTTGCTCATCTGTCCTTCTGCACTTTCATTGGTCCACCGTCCTGTTGGCCTCCGCACCTGCCAATCAATTATTCCACATCAATCCCCAGCTTCTAAATTTATGTCCCTCACTTCCGCAAGCGAGCCTCTTCGGGCGTGGGACGGTAGATCAAACTCCCGCGAGCGGTGGGCGGCGACTGGTACAGTACCCTTACGGTACAGTATTGACGTGGAAGCGAGAGTGATGCCAGGGGCGAACGAAGCACAACAATACTGTACCCTTGGTACTGCAAAGTTTACTGTATACCCAAGGGTACCCTTGCGTAGTCCTACTTGTCGCAAAAAAGAAAAAGAAAAGGGGGGAACAATAAAGGTTAACCGGCAAGACCGGGCGAATGAGGGGAATCGCGCTTTTTATTGTCGTGGCTTCGTTTTTGTTTTTCGCTTGTCTTGGCAGCTAGTCTGCCTCGACTCTTCCCTTATTTATACTGCTTCAGCCAGGTGCTTTGTCCTCTCCTCACGTAATGTTTTTGCACTATCGAAGCATTTTTAGGAGAGGATGCACTGCATGTTGATAGCTGAGATTATTAAAATGCTCCCGTTGTTGTGCACTACATTAATTGCGTTGAGGTGTATTTTATTCGTCCTGTATGCGTCACCGTCATACCATAATTTCCCACACTACTACAGTGGATTCTGTCGGGAGAACGACCGGGCGCGGCGGTCCGGAGAGGGCTTTGAGGGTGTGGCTAAAAGGGGGGTAATTAGCGCTACCAGGGCAAAAAGGGACGCAGCAGGCCATTGCCTCGTAACTGCGGGAGCACACCGGGAGGGGACAAGGTTATCTTGTAATTCGGGTTGGTTCAATGTGCTGAGGTCGAAGACGAGTAGCGTCTTCGACCTGGCTTTATAGTCCTATTGACTCTACAATAACAGTAGGCGCACTACCATAAAAGGGAGGTTGCGCCACCCATGAAATGTCTCTAAAGGGTTACACCCTGAACAGGTAGAATTGTAGGTGGCACGTCCTTAAGGGACTCTATTGTTGATAGATAAATGTAGCCTACATAGTTTAACCTGAATTGATAATGGTAAGCTAATTAAAGTGACTACTCGTCTAGTCAGTTACTCTGAAACTCCCCAAACTTTTTCGTGACAGTGCATGTTCACGAATTTCGATTGATCCACTGCTCAATAGGGTGTGAAAGAACTGACTCTCGTAGCATCTTGTTCAGTATGTCACTTTTCTTGACCTTAGTCAATTCGTCTGCAGGGTTGCATTCGGAACGAATGAATCCAATAGTGCCTAATTCATGTCTTTGATTCGCATCCTTAACAACATTAACATCGATCATTAGTCGCCTTTCAGATGTTATGTCGTTTTCATTGCGAAAGCCATATCGAACGCATCAGCTAAGTCCATTGTTTCGCTGCAAAGGACAGATCTCGAAACACGCTTAGATTTGTGCGAATACCAAAATAATGGTTGGCATCTATCGTTGTCGTCAGCAAGGAAAATGATATAGCCTAGCTGAGAAGATCCGTTGTTTTCGTAGGACGCGTCGGAATAGACCTGCAGCCGAAGACGTCTGTGGTCCAGCTTAGGGGATTTAAGCGCTTGATCCGTAGTTGTATGTATATGGCTTACAACCGAATTTGGTCCCTTACAATGCTTCTTGGGGTCCGAGTTGAAAATATCTTCCGTAACCTGGGTTGCCTGTGCAACTGCACATGCAATATCCGGGCGTGACTGAGTAGCCCAGGATAATTGAGCTCGAAGTGACCGGCAGCCTTTGAAGGAGGCGTCCCTATTGATCTTCTTGATCTTAGAGATATAGTGTCTCTGATGAACTTGGAACCCGTAAGGTGTGGATTCTATCTTGACGCCTGCAAACTGAACATTGCCATAGTCTCTCGGTCGACATTTGAACTTCCTTTCGACACACTTTGCCTCGTAACAGAATTCGTCAGTGCCAGCTTGAAGACAGTCATCTACATACGTGGCACAGAGACCAGCAAGCTTCTCACCAATGCGCTTGAAGAAGAAAGCGGCGTCTGTTACACTGGGCTTCATCCCAAGTTCCTTCTCTAGATGATTCTTTAATGTTCTACCCCAGTAGTCACCACTGTCCGCTAGTCCGTAGAAGGGCTTGAGTAGTTTCAAGAGTTGATTAGAATCCAAGTCGAACTCAGATGATGGTTTAACATAGACATCACGGGAGAGCTCTTCTGTACTCTGCAAATATGCCTGTGTGACATCTGTTGAGAAGAGTCTAAAGTCAAAAAGAGCAGCAAGACCGACGAGTAGTTTGACGCTGAACTGTCGTGCCGTTGAGGTGTCGTGAACGAATGACCGTTTCATCTTGTCCTTGTGGCCTTGTACAACATATCGGGCTTTCCATACTTCCTTGTTTGTTCCAGAGTCTTTAATGGCAAGGACGAATCGACCATTTAAGATGTTTGCGTTATCTGGAACTTCATCGCGAAGCACTAACTTCCAAGTACCTCTTTCGATCAGTCCTTCTATTTCCTTTCGCTTAGCATTATCAAATTGTTGTGCACGAGGATCATTGGGATGTATGACTTCAGTAAGAAGGACGGTATTGGGTGGATTTGAGGCTTTGCCACTACGGAATGGAGCAGTTTGCTGGTGGAGAATAGACTCGGGCGAAGCGTAGTATGGCTTGATTTGATAAGCGTTGAGCGTTTGTCGATAAGTTCCTTCGCTGTTCTGAACAGTTATCATTCGTCCGTGAACATTGCAAACAAGGAATGGACCGATCCATTGCTTCTCTTGCTCTAAGAATACTACAATCTCGTCTCCAAGATTATACACACGATCGGAGGCTGGAGGGATGTTCCGATTCAGAGCAGCTATGACACGTCGTTCTGCGATGATTGCATTCATTTCCATCTGCGCTGTTGTAAGAATTTGCATTCTTTCTCGCTGCGAAGGTATTTCCGTACTTATGATTGGGAAGTGCGGAACAATTCCGAAGACCAATAGAGAAGGGACTAGACCGTTCTCTCCGATTGTGTCGTTCATTGCTTTGACTGCGATTTTTAGAAGAATGAACGGAGAAGCGTCCGAGAAGTCCGCTCGAGCGGACTTACGATCGTACTTTTCTATAAATCCTTCGCAGCGGTCTGTGAAGACGTTCTCCAATACCTAACGATGAGTGGGGTTTTACACCAGATATGCGAAGTTGAATGCCAGCTTTTGCAGTTATCTCGCGCCGTCTATTTGATGTGAATGCGGATCCTTGGTCAGTGCGAAGTCTATTTGGAAAGCCAGTGTACAAGGTACACCAGGCTTTCACGAAGGCTAGCCAAATACCTTCAACGCTTTGGCCATAAGTGGCGCCATGAGCGTCTAGAAAGATGGCTGACGAGAATCTAGTGGCTGTGGCGATGACGTGAAATACTGCTTTTCCATCTAGAAACATCAGGTCAATGGACAATTCGTCACCGAACTTTAAATCCTGTTCATTAGGTAGCGATACTTTAAAACGTACAGGAGTGAGGCCAAGGCGTTGACAGGTGTCACAAGCAGCTTGCAGAGACTCGAGAAACTGCTTTGTCTCCTCATCAGCTTCAAAAGGGCGGGCCAAGCGAAGCAGATTCATGAGTTTCTCTGATGTGGGATGGGAAAACCCGCGATGAAGCTTGATCAGTTCAGCTTTGGTGAAGTGCGTTCTGGAGGAGTGATCCCACTCCAGATAGATGTGACCCAGCTTGCGCCGAAGGGGTATGTCAAGACCAAGCTTAGGCGATCGGAGCATGTTGTTGACGCTATCAATGAACATATGGTACTTGTCCAAGAGGTCAAGTCCAATAAGAAAGGGGACATTGGCCTTGACAATGTCAACCTGTTCGCGAATTAAGTAACCATCAGAAATGAGAATGGATATTTTCATGGTTCCAAGTGAAGCTTGGGAGTCATTACCGAATCTGAAGTGTATCAGGCTCGGCTTGGGTTTGAATTTGGTGCCTGTGAATCGACAGTAGGCTTTGGCTTGAGCGAGGTCAACTACAGTTCGCTGGGCACCAGTGTCAAGACAAGCTCCATCCCACTTGGACGCATGGTTGGTCGTCCTAGCTCGTTCAGGACGATGTTCCCGGATGGTGTGGTAGATTTTGAATTTACACTGCTTCGTTCCGCAGACAGTCTCAAAGGAAATTATTTTACTTTGTGGGTGTTGACTGCTGCTACTCAAAAATCCACTGGATAAAGATTGTCTACAGTATCCCACAGTATTTCTTCTTCTTTCAGTGGCGTGTGTACCACTTGATGATGTGTCACAGCCTGATCTGGGACATCGTCATCATCGTTGAGGGTGTAATCATTGAGAATCACTTCACCGGGGTCATGTTGTGGTTCGTCTGCGAAAGCTGCAAAATCGATCTCATTCGTATCTAGGGCGTGTTCGGCTTGCTCGCATAGCTCGTAAAGGATGCGTTTCGCTGGTCTGGTCTGTAACATGTGGCTGACATTCTTCCTGAGAGCTAAGGGCTTGGGACAGTCCCGAATGAGGTGAAATTTACTTCCACAGTTGTGGCAAGCACGAATATTTCCGAAGCGATCTGCACCATTCTGGGTCGGGGCGGGGTTGTGGGAGAAACGTTGGCGAGGAAATGGCCTCCTTGAGTTTGAAGAAGCGGAACCGGGGCGGCGGGGGATGCCATAC